AGGATTAAATATGTAAAACCTCCAACTTTTTTTGGTGATTTCAAATTAGTCCCAACATTTTCAAACATTCCAAAAGAGTATCCAACGTATAGGAAATATCACGTCTGTTAAATTCCAAGTTAGGAGAACCGTTAAGTGTTTACGTGGCATTCTTGATCATTTTTTTTAGGGAATTTTAACGAAAAGCTCCCGGTACTGTTTAGTTTAACGAAAAACCACATTTTTACACTAAAAAGTCAATCCTGGTACTATTCACTTTACTCTTTATTTTGTCATTACCATTAAAACTCAAAGTTTGCAAGCCTTTTTTTATTAGTTTTCCTTTTCTTTTTTTTTTCTTTTTTTTTTAATGACGTGATGTGGCATTCATGGTCAAATTTAGGGGTGGGCAAACGAGTAGGTCGGGGCTGGTAATCAAGGTTCAGGGCGGGTACGGGCTAGTTCCTAATTTTGTAAAAACAGAAACAGGGCGGGGCGGGCCTTTGAAATTTTTGGTTCGGGCCGGTTCCTGAAGTATAAGAATCGTGGGTACCCAAACCGGCCCGTTTGTAATTAGAATAGACAGATGAGATTGATCTCCATCCAATCTTAATTGTTGATTTTAGGTTTCCTCGTCCTCGACCCATCAAATTCGACTCTGTCACTTGAGACTCTCCTCGCCGTCTCAAGTGCATCGTCCCCTTCCCTTCACCACCCCGACATCATGACAGCCCTGGCAACCACCATCTTCTCGATTTGTCACCTCTCTATCACCTCTCTCTCGCCATCTCGATTTGACATCCCAGACTTACAGAACCCAGTCCCCCCATCACCCATCTTTTCGATTTGTCACCTTTCTCTCGCCATCTCGAGTGCATCGTCCCTTCCCCTCCACCACCCTGACATCACGACGGCCCAGCAACTTTGACGACATCCCAGACTTGCAGAACCCAATCACCCCCACCACTCATCTTCTCGATTTGTCACCTTTCTCTCAGTCTCACAGGTAAGAACCAACCTCTGTGTATATAATTGATTTGCATTTCGAGTTCTCTGCTTTATTTCGGGTGTTAAATTCATAAATATTATATGGGTCGAGTTTGATTTAGTTGTTTTTCGGCATTTCGTTGTAATTTGAATCACTTATTGTGTTTATTATGCTAACTAATTACCAGATTAGGTCAATTTTATGTGATTAGTGCCATCATTTTAAGGATCTGAATCTAATACTCAGTCTCAAAGGTAAAAACCAAACCCTTATTTTCTTCTCTACTTTATCAAATTTTGTTTTGAAATCAATTGAATTAAACCTGTATTTGTTCATCCAAAATGTGGATGGATATGTGGAATTCTTGATTACAAGTTTTAATAGGAATGTAAGCTGTTAGAAATGTAAGTTGTTACCATTGTTATTCAACTTCTTGTTAGAAATGTAAGTTGTGTTGTTTCTTGTTATTCAATGCCTTTGTATTAGTTTCATGTGTCTTTGTATTAGACACATGAAACTAATTAATACAACTGTGCTGTTTCTTTTCATCCTTTTTTCTGGTAGTTTATTAGTGTTGGTTGATGATGCCTTAGGGCATCAACAATATTATTTCATAGACAAGTTTGCAACTTTAATGAGAAAAAAAAAAGGTGCAAGAAAGACAAAACAAGGTGTCATCTTACTTAATAGTACCATAAGTCTATATTGATTACATTGAGATTCTGACCATTCTTCTTATTTTGGGTTTTTTCAGTTTGCCACAACCTTAACAACAAATGATATTGATGAAATACAAAAGTTTCTTGATGTTGCTATGAGTTCAAGGTATTCACTCCATTCTTTTGACTTTTCAGGGGGCAAATGGATATGAATGTTATTTTGAATGTTTCGGATTTAATTTATCGAACGATGTTGGACAATGTGATGTTGTTAATCTATGAACTTGGATGTTGGACTTTGTATTTGGATTGGATGTGATTTGTGTAGGGAGTAGTGCAAAATCTACACTGCACTGATATTTGATAGTGAAGTGAACTGTGAATCTATGCAAATGTGAACTGTTGGGAATGAATTTGAATATATGGAAATGTTAGTTTATATATATATATAACAAAAAAAAAAAAACCAAGGACCCGTGGACCCGGCCTGTTTCAACCAGGCCGGGTTAAGTTTGGTTCCTATATTAGAATCTGTTATCCCTGGTTTGGCCTGGCCAAGATTCGGTTCGGTCTGGTCCCTCCAAAATTCGGGACGGCCTAGCCCGTGCCCAACCCTAGTCAAATTAGTCTCAACATTCAAAATTTCCTCTCTCTCTTTCCCTTTTCTCCCAAACAAGAGAAAATTCTTTTCAAATTTTAGTCTAATGTTATGGTGGCATCATCTCCATGCCTTGTTAAACAATATCAATTTAGCTATGTACAAAACTATTTCAAGACAAAAAAAAAATGATTGAAATGTCACGTAAGCACCTAACGGTTCTCCTAACTTGGAACTTGACGGAAGTGATATTTCCTATACGTTGGATACTCTTTTGAAACGTTTGAAATGTTGAGACTAATTTGAAATCACACCAAAATTTTAGAAAGTTTTAAGTACTTAATGCTATTATTTATGTTTCGTTAAAAAATTTACTCACGTGACCAGTGCATGCATTATTGACAAAATTTGGTTGATATGTTAAATTATGTAAAGTCCCCATTGAGCTATTTCAGAAAAAAATAATCCCTAAATATGCTGAAAAATAATTTCAACTCCAGTTAATACTTATAGGGGTACTTATTCTTAATATCTCTTTTTTTTTTAAGTAAATTAGGCTTAACATCCTTTGAAACCAAAATTTTACACTTTTACTTAAGGGTGGTATTGGTACGATTACCGTAACAAAACCCATATACCAATTATCATACCAAACTTTTGGTATAACAAAATCTATTACCATTACCATGCCAAAATTTTGGTATGCCAAATAGTTTGGTTGGCATGGTATGATAATGGTAATTACTATTTTGTTTTGGGCCAAAATTTGATTTTTTTTCCAACCCAATTCAAAGCCCAAACGTGTTTTGACCACTTCATTTGGATTTCTAAAACTCTTTTATTTAATTATGAGAATTTTATAGAGATTCATTTAAGAAACAAGAAGTAAATAGAAGGAAGAATTGATGAAAGAACCAATATCCCTAAAAAAATGGTACAAATATTCCTAAATTTCATCTCTACATTCTTTAAAATTGTAAAAAAGTTAGCTTGATAGACGTAGCCAAGGAGAAAAATATCCCACGTTGATGAAGGAGAAGATGAGATGGACTTCGGAGAGAGAGAGTCGTCAGAACTGGAGCAACATAAATGAAGTCGGTGGCGAGATGAGTGAAAAGATGAAGAGTCGTAGCACAAAAAGGTTTATTTTTTTAATTGGAAAAGTAGAGGTTAGAGGGTGAGATGATTGGATAAATGACTAGAAAGAAAATATAAAATGCATATATAATGATAATAATATCTAATTATATATAAATGAATAAATAAATGATATAATATTAATAGTTGTGGTACGGTATAGTAGCCCACTGGTAATGATTTTGAATACCATTACCGTACCAAAAATATATGATACAAATTTTTTAATATAACTTTAGTATGGTAGGATTGGTAATTTGATTGGTATAGTAATTTGGCAAAAAACTCTATCCCTACTTTTACCGAAAGAAAAATTATAACCTTTTAGACTTATAATTTAATGCTCTGGAAAAAGACAATTTAATTCGAAAACGACCCTGACAACTGGATTCCTAATACATGCGTCATAACTATAGTATTTCTTTCTTAATGGAATTGAATTTCATGGGAATTCATTTTGTTGGGATCCTTAGGTTTTGCACATTTTAATCATTCATCATGTATTATGCGATAAAAAATTATTTGATTTTTTTATTTAAAATTAAATATAAATAGTATCTAATGAAAACTGGTCACACGATGTATAATGAACGGTTAAGATGTAAAGATTCCTAGGATTTCCACTAAGTGGATCCAAAGAGAATCCTTTTCATTTCTTAATTTAGTTCGTGTTCAATTTACAAAATTTTGTATTTATAATAGGAATCGTGTATATATATATATATATATATACATTATAAATTACATTGTAAGATTATTTTTTATAAAAAATTAATTAAAACAAATATTGTTTAGTTAATCAACGATAGCAAACAAATTGACCATTCATAATGCTTTTACTGATTATGTTCATATGATTTTGTGTGGTTTGACAATTAAAATTGATTTTTTTGTATAAGTGATCAAGATAAAATGATTTATAATATCAATGATTTTAATCATAAACTCGAAGTTTCATAAATTAACCTCAAAGTGAAATGGAGGGGAATTCCTTTTCAACCATTGAAGAGCAAATTAATTCCGTTATGTGGTTATAATCGAAATACGGATTTCTGAAGTATAATAATCAAAATATTTAAAATATAAAACACTCAGAATATCTCATTTCCGACAAAATCAAAGACGTCCTCAGATGTAGTCGTGTAGTGGGTGCATTGGAAAGGAAATATTGAATGGATAGGGGACTGGACAAGACAGACAATCCGAATGAGATTGGATTTAGAAAAAATAGGTTGAAGATTGAAGAGACATTCACTTTGGGAAGAGCAAATAATGTCAAATCACAAACTCTCTAAACAGTAATTAAGATGATACTATCTACATACTCATTTTTACATCTCATATATTACTCTGAACTTTCAATTGTCATATTAAATTAGAGAAAATTAATAAACAAAAATTAAACCTTGTATCTCAATCAACAAGAGAAAATTTTTGATTAATCTGATACAAGTTGGTACATCTCTACACTTATATTATGACATGTAAAGTAGAAGAGGATCATCGTCAAATTTTTTTTTTAAGAATTCCTGAGATTCTTCGTGGTAATCGTTTACCGTACATCGTGCTGTCAGTTTCCATTAGATACTATTTATATTTAATTTTAAATTCCTTTTTCATTTTCCATGTAAAGAATCAACTTCTACCTCAAGTACTTTGGAAAAATTTCTCCAACCAAAGACCAAGGGGGTACTATTTGGGATTCTCAACAATTTCCGTTTCTTCTTTTTTTCGTTTTGTTGGAATACGCAACCTCGTTTCGTGTCTAGCAAGAGTGCATCAATTTTTTCCTTTTTTTTTTTTTTGTTTGTTTTATTGGTAAGAAGGGGATATAATAGGTAGTAAAATTAAAAAAATAAATAAAAACTAGTTTGAGTTGTACCCAGGTTTTTTTTCCAAAAAAAACTCCAAGCAGCTCTCTGTGTTGTTGTTGATTACTTCCTTCACTGGGGATTCTGCAGGAACATAGATTCAATGCATGGTACTGGTATACAGTTTCTCTCTCCTCACCTTTGTGTTTCTGCATGTATCTATGTATCTCTCGCTGTATGTATGTATGTATGTATATGCCTTTTAATTTTTCGGTTTCAAACGTTGAAAGCAAAAGGTAGGATTGGATTTTATTTATGCGAGCTTTTTAAGCAGTAATTTACTTAATTTATTTGATTTTGATGGTGTTTTTTGGGGGGATTTTGTGTGTAGAGACTAGAGAATTAGAGAGATAGAAGGGAAGGATGAAGAGGCAGAAGAGCAAGGAGGAGGAAGAAGAGAAGATAACAAACAAGGAGGAGGAGGAGGAGGAGGAGGAGGAGGAGGAGGAAGATGCAGAAGAAGATTGGTGCTTCGTCTGCAAAGATGGTGGAGACCTCATGTTATGCGACTACCCGTTAGTTCTTCACTCTCCTTTCCCTTTTATTTTTCCTCATTGAGTTTCAAAAATATGTGTATATATGTGTGTGTGTGTATGGTGGAGACCTCATGTTATGCGACTACCCGTTAGTTCTTCACTCTCCTTTCCCTTTTACTTTTCCTCATTGAGTTTCAAAAATGTGTGTATATATTTGTGTGTGTGTGTGTGTGTGTGTGTTTGCGCGCACGTTTGGTTAGGGCACCCCAATTTGAATTTCCCTCGCTTAAAAATCAGAGACATTTCAATTTAGATAAAGGTGCTTTCGTGCCCGCGTGTAGACGTACTTAGGCCACCCAAGTTTGAATTTCTATCGCTTGAAAATCAGAGTAATTTCAATATATATATATATATATATATATATATATATATATATATATAGGTCTTTGCACATCGTGTAGATGTTGGTTAGGCCATCCATTTCGAATTCTCCCTGTTTGAGAATTAGAGTAGTTTAGAATATTATTCCGTTAGACACAATAAATAAATAAATAGATAATAAAAATCCAACAAAACATAGTGATGGGTTTGTGTTGTACCATCCTAGTGACTTGAATATCACTTTTAACTTAACAGTACAACATTCCCTTTCAAGAAGATATTGAGAGAGGATCATCCAAACGACCTAAGCAACAACCTCTTCATATGTAACGGAGTTCTTTATGAGGGAAAATAAGCTTGTATTTTTGTATGGAAATGTTCTCCTTCTGGTCCCAAACTGTCAAATATGAAACATCAATAGGTGAAATCAAGTCCAAATGTGCGGTTCTGATTATTATGTGCCAAATATTTGGCAAACGATCATCACAGAGAGATGAAGATACTGTTTCCATAGCATTTATTGTTGTCAGAATTTGAATTAAAAGCTATATTCAAACATGCTTTAACTTAATCGATTGTCTTGTTGATTATTTGATAACGTGTCAATAATCGAGAAAGAAGAGAGCATTTGCTTGTGTGTGTGTGATTTTCGATACTAGAATGTTCTCATGACAAGTCAATTCATAAACTCCTTTCTCCATTTTTCTTGAGTTTTATGTTTATCTAAAGCAAAGACATTTCATCTTCTATCGATCCTCAACCTGTACATTTTGGTTCCTTCTCGCATTTCTTCAATGATTTATTTCTTTGCCTAGACGTAGAATGTCTCTCTACTTCTATATTATTAACAACCTGACTCATTTCAGGGGCTGCTTAAAAGTATATCATGCTCGATGCGTGGGCAAAAAGAAATCCTTTGCTGGGGCCGGAAAGCGCTGGATTTGTAGTAAGAAACTTCACATTTATCAATGAGGATACATGAGTGTTTCAATTGAAATCATTGCACATGGAGTATTATGCATGCATGAAGGCTGATGAACCATCACTGGTTTCATGTTAAAAAATGCTCGTGTGATGCTTCTGACTGTTTTGTCTTTCATTTTGTTTCGTTCCAAACCAACTTGTAAAATCCATGAGTCCCTTTCTTTGTCTCTATCAGTTTTGGGGTGCAGAGTGGGATGTGGGTAAAAGACAGATTTTGATGCAACATGTATATATAGAACTAAAGGAATTATATCGTGCGCTCAATTCTTTGGGATGCTCTTCATTAAGCAGAACCATGAAGCTTTTCTGTTCCAAGTGTTGAACCACATAAAGGGCTTCAGCAACCAAATTTTTGTCGTTCCTACCCAAATCCATAGAATCGAAGAGAACTTCTTGAAGCAGAGTAAATGGCACTGACCCCAACTTCAAACTAGTGTTCAGAGTTGAAATTTCAGGCCCTCTGTGTGGCCTTTAATTAACATACAATAGCATAATTAACTAACCAAACGGCCACCATACACTCATTAGTGCTTGTCTTCCGAAGTCCCCCATAAGAAGGCTCTTGTATGCAAGAAATTCTTGTGCATCTTTTAATTTGAATGTTCTAGCTGTTCATCTACTTCACAAGTGTACATATCCATATTATTTACGATCTTTTCATTTGGATATCTGATCATGATTGGTATACATGGTACTACATCTTTGAAAGAGTTCTTAACATTTAGAATGGTATAAATGCATTTTTTATGTCTGAAAATTTCCTGTCACAGAAATGCACATGGTTAAGCACTTCCATAAAAAGATTTTTATCTTCATATTTGCAATACTTGGGAGAATTTGTGTATTGAAGTTTGAAAGATGATGCAATTTTATGTTTCAGGGATGCATTCTTGTGCATTGTGCCTTAGTACCCCAAAGTTTTACTGCTTCTGTTGTCCGAATTCAGCATGTCGACATTGCATAAGTGGTTCTAAGTTTACACAGGTTAGAGGGAAGAAAGGGTTTTGCAAGGAGTGTTTGGAGCTTATTCTACTGGCAGAGCAAAACTCAGAATATGGTTTAAATGGAGTAAGATAATTAATCTCACTTTGTTAATTAACTAGTTCAAAAATCTCCAAGTTTATGTTTCCGTCTGTTATTAATTATTATATTTGTAGGAAATTCTAGCATGTAGTTCTATAATGTTGCATCTTTGTTTGGGTTATGTCAAGATTTATGTGGAAGGTTATATTGTTTTAGAAATTACATTATTGTCATTTACCACCGAGATAGATGCTTTCTTGAAATTGCAGACAAGCCAATACTCTCCTCTCGCTCTCTGGGAACACCTCTGATGGGAAAAAAAATTTACGACAGTTTCAGATTGCACAAGAAAATGATAGAGGTTTTTGGTGTTTCACTAAGGTTTACTTTCAGTATCATAATTTGTAACGCATGGACATAATGTTTATTGTCCGAACTCTTTCCACATGTATTACTTGCTGTATAATTCACATTCTGATTAATAGCTTTCACTTTTCCTGTTTCTTGTTTTATTATTTACCAAGTATACATTGTGTATCCTTATGAGCTTCAGATAAGAACAGCTAAACTAAAAGGGGAAGAAACAGAATATGAATTGATTTTATTTTCGCTGTTCTTATCTGAAGCTCTGATACACGGTTTACACTTGGTAAATATTTAAAAAAGGAAAAGGGAAAGCAGTATAGAGTTAATCACATTTTGGCGTGTATCTATACGGCATGTAATACATGTGGCATGAAGTCAGGCAATAAATGTGATGTTCATGCGTTACAATAATGAAGGTAAATTCTCGGAACTACAAAAACCTGTCTTTTTCTTGTGGAATCTGAAGGGATGGTATATTTTTTTTCTCTCATCTGAGTTCACAGAGTGAGAGGGGAGAACGCTTCTCTGCAATTCATCTGGAAGGCTCATCGAGTTTTTACCTCTTTGTAAACCAAGGTACAATTTCGCCTGATTGGAACTTCTTGTTTCACATCAAAGGTATAGATTTTGTCTGATCTGAACTTTTCTTTCACATCATTAGAATTTTTTCTTCCGATCTATGACTGTTCTGTAGTTAATTCAAATGGTAGATCCTTATGATTTGTTGTACTTGAACATGATATACGTTCTGTATGAAGTAATGGCAGGCATTGAGCTAAAAGCCTAAAAACCGCAGAAAACATATATTCATCTCCTTTATTTAAGTTTCAGCCTCTTGATTATATGTCCATCTATCATATAGTTAATTATCTATGCTTCCGTTTTTGGTTGTATGGTTGTTGAATTTCAGGAAAAAATAGACTTCAAGGATCGAGATACATTTGAGTGCCTATTTAAAGAATATTGGGAAATCATAAAGGAAAACGAAGGTTTGACTTTAGATGATGTCTATTCCGCAGATTTACTGTTAAAGAGGGGAGAAAATAAAACATGCAGGTTTGGTTCTGTAAAAGCTGGTGAGACTGAAGAAGCTTTTGACCTGATATCTGATAGTGACACTTCAGACACAGAATTTCAGAGACCAATGGGAAAAAGGAAGGCGCAAGAGTATATCGGATGGGCATCCAAAGCTCTTATTGAGTTCCTGCGATCTATTGGTATAGATACAACCAACAAGTTATCGCAGTATGATGTGGATTCAATCATCTATGATTATATCAAAGAGAGAAACCTTTTTGATCCAATAAAGAAGAAAAAGGTTATATGTGATGAGAAGCTTTATTCTATTTTCCGAAAGAAGTCCCTGGATAGGATAAAAATATATGGTCTTCTGGGGGAACATATGACCGAGAACTTGGTTATATCAGATGAAGATGATAGTGAGCTGGAAGACAAGAAGAAAGATACAGTGATAGCAAGCAAGAAGCGAAGAGAGAGCTCAGGTGTAGCATCTATTGAAAAGGAAGCGAGTCCTAGCATCCAGAAAAGTTGTTTTGCATCCATAGTTCCTGAAAATATCAAGCTTGTCTACTTAAGGAGGAGTTTAGTGGAGGAGTTCTTGAAGCAGCCTGAAAATTCTGATAGCAAGCTACTGGGAACTTTTGTGAGAGTTAAAAATGATGCCAGGCTTCGTCTGACAAATTCTCACCAACTTTTACAAGTTGAAGGTATTGTTTTTTGGAAATATATAATCTGTTATTGTGTTAATAATGTCAGATTGGAAAAATTGTTAGCCTTGTAGTCTGATCTGTTTCGATTCAATATATATGTAACATGCTGATCCATCAATGATTGGATATGCCCCTCCTCGGCATACAATGTAAGATTGATCTTCAAACATTACGGTGGTGCTATGTTGACGGGAATGCTCTTATTTTCTCCACAGGCTTTTAAGGTGCTGAAATTCCTTGATTTATTCAAGTTTTTTTCTTTTATATCCTCGCAGGCATAAAGAAAGGCTCAACAGCTGATGGAATGGATGGTGAAATTCTCCTGCAAGTTTCCAATAGAGATATTCCCATTTGTAGGCTGGCAGATTCAGACTTCACTGAGGTAATTGACCAGTATAAGAACTATTCAGTTTTCCGTATACGTAACATAATTTCCTCAGAAGGTTTAGTAATTGGAGAGCTCTCCACTCCTATTAATCAAATCCTCAACCTTACATATTTTGAGGGGGAGGAGTACGACTTGGTTACAGAGACCAATTTCTATCAATCCCCTTTGGTTATATAGAGATTTAAGATTTCAAGCATCAATGTGTTGAACATTTGGTACTTCATATACACATTTGATAACTGAGAAACTAAACTTTTTGTCTTGTCCACATTTAAGCTATAAATATTTTGTTATTCACAATTCTGGAAATACACAGATCGGTTTGTTGCTTTGATAATAATATGTGCTACTTGCAGGACGAATGTAAGGAGTTGCGGGAAAATGTGGCAAATGGCCTGCTAAGGAAACCTACAGTTGTAAGTTTAAGTTCCCTTCTTGAATCTGTCTAGTTAGGATAACAAGTTTTCTTTGTTTTTCAGTTTAATTATCTTCTTTCTGGTTTGTGTGGCTCACCATGATCTGTATTCATATGGACAACTATATATATTTAAAAATCGAATGTCATGAAAGTTCGTTTAGTGCATTATATACATATGTATATCTATCTTTTGTGAACGATGGTTTTTCAACCTTTAACCATAATTTATTGTTCGACAGGCCGAGCTTGAACAGAAGGCAAGACTTCTGCATGAGGATATAACTAAGCATGTAAGTAGTTCTACTTTATGGCATTAATTTCTTATATCTGTTTCCTATTCCCCCTATGCCCCCACTCTATAACAAAATGTGAAAGCTTTTGTCATATCGAGTTTATCTGGATAGGACTAGTGCACTGCCATGGAGGCAAATTGCTTGCTCATCATTTTTCTGATTTAAATTGACATATTGTTATCAGTGGATTGAGAGAGAGTTGGTCAGATTACAGAACTGCATTGATCGAGCAAACGAGAAAGGACGGAGAAGAGAATATCCTTCCATAGTCTATACAAAACTTCCATAGTTAAATTTTCATAGCTTTGAGTGCATTAATCCAAGTTTGTTTTTTTAATAGATTGAAGTCCTTCCATTGGTTTTCAGTTTTTTGTTTTTTACTTTTTACTCTCAAGGAAAGTTACACCTCAGAGCCCAGTTTTCAACCATGAATGGCATCTAGTCAAAAGCAGTGGTCGAACGAGATGCCAAATTTTCTAGTTATTGATAATATTTTCTTGGAAATATCTGGTTTTGGTTCTTCATGCATCACTTTTACTCCATGCACACACAAACACAAACACGCACAAGTGCTTGAGCATCTGTCAACCTACATTTGTGTTATGCCAATTTGTCTCATTGAACGACAGAGGACCTTAACCAACTTTATGTTCAACGCTGTGGGAACTTATGGAGAAGAGAGAGATGCTAAAGCAACCCTCTGTTCAAGTTGGTCTACTAAAGGAGGTGCCAAAGGTCACTGCGGAGGTTTTAGAGGCTGAATCTGGTCCTGTGGATGCCGTAAAAGCTGATAATCGATGAAGTGTTTCCTCACTAGGCTCGACCAGCATATTGAAATGAGACTGCTGTGTTAAAAGGGCTGCAATGTGCGTTGTTAGTTTTCCAGTCTGTATGTCGTTTGTCCTTTTAAGCTTGGAATAGAACTGCTTTCATTGCAGTTTAAGACATGGCCAGCAAATCGACTATCGTTACTGTATTGATATGTTTGTATTTTATGTTTCTCATTTTCTTGTCAAGAAGCTAAAACAAAGATCAAGTCTGTGGTTCCTTTCTGCCACAGACGATTGTGTGAAGTGTTAAGTATTCTTTCTCAGTTAGAAAACAATCCACTATGCATTAGTCAAACAAATGCAAAAGAGGGATCGATGCAGCGTCAAGTTACTAGACTCACACTAGAAGGTAGTCGCCTTTGTAACACCCCAACCTAACGTGGTAAGTCAACTGTAGAATGGAAGTAAGAAAAGAGGGAGGAGCGAATTAGAGAAGCGTGATCGCACAAAAACCCTAAAATCGAGAGTGAGTCCACACTAAAGGAGAGGGGGTGCGCTTAGGTAAGTCAAGAATGGAAGTAAGAAAAGACGGAGGAGGGAATTAGAGAAGTGCGATCGCCCGAAAACCCTAAAATCAAGTTTGAGTCTACACTAAAGGAGAGGAGGTGTGCTTAGCCTCACAATGAACTAGCAATAATATGATTCAAATTCGTCTTTGACGAGAATTGAACTTAAGACCTCTCATTTACAAACGAAGAGGAATACCATTAGACCGTAGTACTAAGTAGCAACAACTATTTTATTTGAATGTTAAAAGTGATTAGGTAAATCTTATATGACAAGTGTATATGCATTGGTGTTGTCTAAGCTGAAAAGTGATAACAATATAAGAGTTTTGTGATGTTATCAGATCCAATATTGCTTCAATGCAATCATCATAGAGCTACAATGATATGCCCTGGGGTTGTGCTGGTGCCACCGCATAAAGAGTGTGAATGTAACTGCAGCCTCGAATTGCCAAACAAAACGGCCGGATATATATCTGGATTCCCAATACATGCATGCGTTACAAATTACTGACTCACTAAGCAGGTTCTTTCTTTTTGTTATTTTATTCAATATATGTGTAGTAATGCTCATTATCTTATTTATTATCGTTAGATAATTTAAATTTTAAAATTTGTGTCTATACACTACATAAATTTTGAAATTTAAACTCACTTAACGATGGTAAATAAGGTGTTGAGAAAAAATGTTCCCTAAATTTTCCTAGTGGGTGGATTGAAAAGGAAATATCGATTGGATAGGACTGGACAAGACAATCGGAATAAGCGGGGGAGACATTAGGTAATAAAATTAAATAAAATAAAAAACTAGGCTGTAATTCTTTTCAAAACAAAAAATCCCAAGCTGTGTTATTATTTGTTGATTCCTTCCTTCCTTCACTGGGGATTCTGGAACATGCATGGTAGTGGTAAAGTTACAATTCTGCAATTTGGTATTTTCTACCTCTCTCACTACTCACTTTTTTGTTTCTGCATGTATGTATGTATGTATGTATGTATGTATCTATATATATGTGTGTGTGAGCTTTTTATTTATGTTAAAGTAAAAGGAAGGATTGGATTTTGTATATGTGAGCTTTTATAAGCAGTAATTTGTTTATTTATTTGGTGTTGATGGTGTTTTTTGGGGGATTTTGTGTGTAGAGACCAGAGATCTAGAGAGATAGAAGGCCAAGGATGAAGAGGCAGAAGATCAAGGACGAAGAAGAGGCAGAAGGTCAAGGACGAAGAAGAAGAAGAAGAAGAGAAGATAATAAACGAGGAGGAAGATGCAGTAGAGGATTGGTGCTGCACCTGCAAAGATGGTGGATACCTCATGCTATGCGACTACATGTCAGTTCCTCACTCTCCCTTCCCTTTCACTTTTCCTGATTGCGTTTCAGTGTATGTGTGTATTTTCGCGCGCTTGGTTAGGCCATCTAAGTTTAAATTTCTCTCGTTTAAAAATAAGAAACGTTTTAGTCTAGTTAAGGTGCGCGCGCATGTGTACATGACCTTAGGCCACTCAAGTTTGAATTTTCCTCGTTTGAAAATCAGAGTAATTTCAATACATATATACGTATGCGTATGTTTTCGCTCAGATGTTGGTTAGGCCATCCAAATTCAAATCCTTTTGATTTGAGAATTAGAATAATTTAAAATTGTTCCATTAGACACAAAAGTAAATAAATAAATAAAAATTCTAACAAAACATGATGACGGTTTTGTGTTGTACCATCCAGTTGACTTGAATGTCACTATCAAATAATATGCCTTAAAAGAAAGTATAACAATCATAGATAGTCAATCATCCATCCACATCTCCCAACATTTCTTTCTCCTTGTTTTGCATTAACAACAGAGCAGTCACACATCTTAATACCATAAGAAAAATTTCAAATGATGTGAAGAAAAAAAAGTTCAGATTAGGCCAAAATTTATACTTTGGTTTATAAAGAGTTAAAAACTACGATGAGAGACATTCTTTCAGATGAACTGCAGGAAACCCTATACTCCTCTTTCATTGTCCATAAACAAATGAGAGAAAATATACAAAAATGACAGAGATTTTTGTAGTTATGAGAAGGTTTACTTTCCATATTGTAATGCATGCACATCACATTTATTGTTTGACTTCATTCCACGTGTATTACATTACATGCCGTAAAATTTGCAATCTGATTAATAGATACATGTGAAAATGTGATTAACATTATATATACTGCTTTCACTTTTCATTTTTCTTGTTTTATTATTTACCAAGTTTAAATCGTGTACCTTTTTAGGAGAAGAAACAGAGTAGGAATTGATAATAAGCTCATAAGGATATACGATTTATATTTGGTATATATTAAAACAAAAGAAAAAGGATAAGGGAAAACAGTACAAAGTAAAACACATTTTGGTGTGTATCTATTAATCAGAACATGATTTATACAGCTTGTAATACATGTGGAATGAAAGACAATAATATGATGTGCATTCGTTACAATACGGAAATGATAATGTTAGAGAGACCATGTATTTAAATCATATTTTATAAATCATATAATGTGTTTGTTGATGATTGAATTATTATTTAAGTGTTGATTAAAGTATTTATTTTTTATTGGGACACATGACATGATTTTTGTCACATCCCGGTCCGGGACGGATCACTTCCCGGGTCCGCTCCACCACCGTAACACGATATTGTCCGTTTTGGGCTTACCATTTCCTCACGGTTTTGTTTTTGGGAACTCACGAGCAACTTCCCAGTGGGTCACCCATCATGGGATTGCTCTAGCCCCCTTCTCGCTTAACTTCGGAGTTCCTACGGAACCCAATGCCAGTGAGCTCCCAAAAGGCCTCGTGTTAGGTAGGAATGAGAATATACATATAAGGATCACTCCCCCTGGGCGATGTGGGATGTCACAATCCACACCCCTTAGGGGCCCGACGTCCTCGTCGGCACACATGCGGCTAGGGTTAGGCTTTGATACCAATTGTCAAATCCCGGCCCGGGACGGATCACTTCCCGGGCCCGCTCCACCACCGTAGCACGATATTGTCCGCTTTGGGCTTACCATTCCCTCACGGTTTTGTTTTTGGGAACTCACGAGCAACTTCCCAGTGGGTCACCCATCATGGGATTGCTCTAGCCCCCTTCTCGCTTAACTTCGGAGTTCCTACGGAACCCAAAGCCAGTGAGCTCCCAAAATGCCTCGTGCTAGGTAGGGATGGAAATATACATATAAGGATCACTCCCCCTGGGCGATGTGGGATGTCACAATTTTGGTCTAAAAATTTGGTGTACCTAACATTAACTTTCTCGGAACTCCAAAAACCTCTGTCATTTTCTTATGCAATTTGAATGCAATGTATGATTTCTTTCATCGGAGTTTTTCCAAAGAGTGAAAGGGGAGTATAGGCTTGTCTGCAATTCATCTGGAAGAATTTAGCTCATGTAGTTTTTAATAAACCAATGGTATAATTTTCGCCTGATCTGAAATTTTTATTTTCTTCTCATCATTTGAAAATTTTCTTATGATTAAGATCTGTGAGTGTTTCTGTTGTACTCATGCAAATAGGAAATCCTTACGATTAGTTGTACTTGATATATGTTCTGTATAAAATTAATGACAGGCCTTGAGCTAAAAGCCACAGAAAACATAAAATTCATGTCGTTTATTTCGGCTTCAGTCTCTTGATTATACATGTTCATCATGGTTTAATATTGCCAAAGCTTGTTAACGTTGTAAGAATTTAATGTCCCAAATATAAATAGAACTAAGGAATTGTGTGGCCTTTACTTCATGCAATAACATAATTAACTAGCCAAACGGCCACCATTCGGAGCACTCATTAGTGCTTGTTGTTGAGAGTGTTAATCCCACCTCGAGGAAGGAAGAGACCTTGCATGTACTAGAAGTAATTGAACTACTCTTCATATTGCCAATTGGTTTTAGGGTGAAACCTCAACTTTCTTCATTCGTCTTCCAAATCCCCTATAAGGAGGCTCCGTATGGTAGAAATTCTTGTAGTGTCTTTTAATTTGAATGTTCTAGCTGTTCATCTACTTCATTCGGATATCTGATCATGGTTGGTTGATTTGGTCCTTTATCTTTGAAAGAGTTCTTAACATTTTGGAAGGTATAAACTCATTTTTTTTGTCGGAAAATTTCCCGTCACAGAAATGCACACGATTAAGCACTTCCAAAAAAAAGACTTTTATCTTCATATTTGCAGAAAACTGGAGAATTTATGTCTTAAGTTTGAAAGATGATGCAGTTGTATGTTTCAGGGAAGCATTCTTGTGCATTGTGCCTTGGTACCCCAAAGTTTTACTGCTTCTGTTTTCCGAATTCAGTATGTCGACATTGCGTAAGCGGTTCTAAGTTTACACAGGTTAGAGGAGAGGGAACAAAGGATTTTCCAAGGAGTGTTTGGAGCTCGTTCTGGATAGATGCTTTCTTGAAATTCCTTTTCCATCTATCTGCATTAACAACAGAACTGTCATATACATCTAAATGTCATAAGAAATTTTCAAATGTGTGAAAGAAAAAAAGTCCAGATCAGGCGAAAATTTATACCTTAGGTAAAAACTACAATGAGAGAAATTCTTCCAGATGAATTGCAGACAAGCCTATACTCCCCTCCCACTCTTCGGGAACAACTTGGATAAATATACAATACTTTCAGTTTGCACAAGAAAACGACAAAGGTTTTTGGAGTTCTGAGAAGGTTTACTTTTAGTATTGTAATGTGTGCACATCACATTTATTGTCTGACTTCATCCTACGTGTATTATATATTGTAAAATTTGCGTTCTGATTAATAGATACATGCCAAATGTGATTAACTCTATTTATACTGCTTTCACTTTTCCTTTTCTTGTTTTATTATTTACCAAGTTTAAATCGTATACCATACATGATTTATACTTGGTAAATATTTAAACATAAAGAAACATGAAAAGGGAAAGCAGTATTGAGTTAATCACATTTTGATGTGTATCTAATGAGTAGAACACGAATTATACGACATATAATACATGTGGAATGTAGTCAGACAATAAATGTGATGTGCATGTGTTATAATACAGAAAAGAAACCTTCTCAGAACTCCCAAAAACATTTTTCATTTTCTTGTGCAATCCGAAAGCATTGTATATTTTCTCTCATCAGAATTGTTCCTGGAGAGTGAGAGGGGAGTGTAGGCTTGTGTACAATTCATCTGGAAGAATTTCTCGCATCATAGTTTTTAATAACCATAGGTATAAATTTTCACCTGATCTGAACCTTTTTTTCTTCACATCATTTGGAAATTTTCTTATGATTGAGATCTGTGACTGTTTAGTTGTTAATGCAAATAGGAAATCCTTACGATTTGTTGTAATGTTCTGCGTAAAATTAATGACAAAAGCCTTGAACTAAAAGCCACAGAAAGCATAAAATTCATCTATTATTTCAGTTTCAGTCTCTTGATTAAACATGTTCATCATGGTTTAATTATCTATGTTTCGTTTTTCGGTTGTATGGTTGTTGAATTTCAAGAAAAATAAACTTGGAGGATCGAGATACATTTGAATGCCTATTTAAAGAACATTGGGAAATCGTAAACGAAAATATAGACTTCAAAGATTCTGCAGATTTACTGTTAAAGAGGGGAGAAAATAAAACATGCAGGTTTGATTCAGCAAGAGTTGGCGAGACTGAAGAAGCTAGTGAACTTATATCTAACAGTGACACTTCGGACACAGAATTTCAGAGACCGATGGGAGAAAGAAGGGCACAAGAATATATCGGATGGGCATCCAACGCTCTCATCGAGTTCCTCCAATCAATTGGTACAGATACAACGAAACAATTGTCGCAGTTTGATGTGGAGACGATCATATTTGTTTAGGATAAAAATCTATGGTCTTTCGGAGGAACATATGGCCGAGAACTTGGTTATGTCGGATGAAAATGATAGTGAGCTGGAAGACAAGAAGAAAGATACAATGACAGCAAGCAAGAAGCGAAGAGTGAGCTCAGGTATCGCGTCTATTGAAAAGGAAGCGAGTCCTCGCGTCCAGAGAAGTTGTTTTGCATCCATAGTTCCCGAGAATATGAAGTTTGTCTACTTCAGGAGGAGTTTAGTGGAGGAGTTCTTAAAGCAGCCTGAAAACTCCGAAAGCAAGCTACCGGAGACTTTTGTGAGAGTGAAAAATGACGCCAGGCTTCGTCTGACAAATTCTCCGTAGCTTTTACGAGTTGAAGGTAATTGTTTGTTAGCAGCATCCAGGCTCGTCTGGATATTGCATACTGTTAACTTTTCGTCGTGACCAACATTTGAGCTATAAATATTTTGTCATTCGCAATTCTGGAAATACACAGATCGGTTTGTTGCTGTGGTAATAATAATTTTGATCAGAAATTTCTGTCCATAAGAGTATTGTGGAATTCAATTGTGCTACTTGCAGGACGAATGCAAGGAGTTGCGGATTTCCATCATTGTAAGGATTCTCATTTAACACTATAAATACGTCGCTCTAGGGCTCAAAAGGGGGATCAAATATCTAATCCAACACAATTCTCATATCTCGAGATAATACACGTCATATTCAACACATCTCTACATGCTCATACATGGAACTACACGTGATTTGATTCTTCCTCTTCAATGTGGAGATATGTAGGCAATCATTCCTGGGATCCAATCACACCACACAAAATATCCCCCTATTCTCTGATGTTCATGGGATTCCAGCAATTGTTCGTATACCAACGGTTGTGCACGAATTTGGTTCCAACATTTCTCGTTTGATGTCTAGAAATGGATTGGATTAGATAACTCACTAGATTGACGTATAGCTAGATGAAGATATTAATTTCAACTTTCAAATTTTGTGAAGTTGAAATTAAAAGATGAATTAGTCATAAATAGAAGACTCCTCCCTCTCAATCCCCACAAAACAGGCAAAATTGGAACAAAAAAGCTTCCCTTGCAACTAATCCATACAAAATTGAAAGTCGCATCAACTTCTTTCTTTCAACATCACATTGCATCTACTTCTTTCCTTCAATCCAATCTAATTCAATCTTCGACACCAAACGAGACTTTCAGTTATTGTATGTCAGCTCGGGATAAAGAAAGAAAAGAAACTGAGCTGAGTTTTAAGCCTACAGATTTAAAACATGCACCACACTAATCTAAACACTCATCAGAATAACAACAAACCAGAACAAATATCCATAGCATTACAGTAAAACACACAAATTATATACAAGTCTTTGAACAGGAGGCAAAGCTATATACAATTCCACCAAAATATCCTAATAAATCTAGACATTAAGACACAACATTACCACTCAAACACCATCGATAGCATTTTTCAGATCTCCACCAAATAGCGACATGAGAGGTCCTCCGTGGACTCTCCCTTCCGGGATTTTGAACTCAAAGCTCTTTATCCCGCTACAACTGCCAACACCGACGCCATACCCATCTCTTCCCTCCTCAGGCTTCTCAGAACTCGAGAAATGTGAATAGGATGATGAAGACTTCATCGATAGAGGAACCAATACCTGCGAGGGTATGAGATGTGTTTTTTCGGGCTTTTCCAGCGAATCCATGCTGTCAGAAATGGCACTGGTTCCTGAAGAAGAATGATTGTTGTCAAAGCTGCTCCCTGCAGTTGAAGCCGCAGATACAAGCCCATGGAAAAGTCCTGGTCCAATGAGACCTGCCTTATCTATCCCCCGGTCCTGAACCATACTGCTATGAGCGGCACATAAACCACTCTTGCCCCTGGCGAATTTTTCACATTTACCCTCTCCCCAAGTGCATCGCTTTCCCCCACCATGGGCCTTGCAGAAGTCTGTGCTCCCCTGGGCACTTTTTCCACAGTTATCAAACTTACAACGCTTACCTCCACCATGCCTAACACAACAATCAGTGCGGCCACGGGCACTTCTTGTGCAGCCTGGCACAGAACACCTCTTTCCGCCACCATGAGCAACGCAGAAATTAGTGCCTCCATGTACGCTCTTAGGGCAAATCCCACCACCATCAAAGAGACAGCGCTTCCCCCCACCATGTCCCTTGCAGAGTGGTGTGCTTCCTTCGGCACCCTTGGTGCACCCTTGAAATATGCAACGCTTTCCACCACCATGTGCCTTGCAGTACATAGTGCTCCCTTGTGCCCCCTTTGCACATGCCTCGTGCTGGCAACGGCGACCACCTCCATGCGAGATGCACAAACCAGCCTGTCCTTCAGCACTACGAGTGCAGCCATCCACCTTACACCTTTTCCCTCCCCCATGTCTGATACAAAGCCCTGATTTTCCTCGTGCAGCCTTGGTACATCCACCTGGATAGCCACATCTTTTGCCACCACCATGAGCTATGCAGTACTCTGTTTTCCCCTCAGCACTTTTAGTGCACCCCAAGTGTTGACACCTCTTCCCTCCACCATGTGCCTTGCAGTACGCCGTTCGGCTCTCAGCACCGTTCTTGCACCCAGGTTTTTGGCATCTCTGTCCGCCCCCATGACCAATACAAAGACCTGATGCCCCTCGTGCTCCCTTTCTACAGCCAAAAAATTTGCATTTTTTTAGACTGCTAATTCGGTTGTCTGAAGATGTCCCTGTAGTTGTCTGCTCGGATATTGATTCTGTTGAGTAATCTGTTGTAACAGAAGGTTCATGCCTTAGCTCAGTTAGCTGGCATTTGTCCCTGAGGTTTAAAAGTTCTTTACTGTGCAGAGAAAGATTGACACTGTCACTCCTAGGAGCAAAAAGAAGTGACGGCATATAACCACCTGATTTCCTGGACGAAGTAGAACCCTCATCAACAAGTGGAATTGGCAGTTGATTATCTTCAGAAGATACACGAGTAATATTAACATCAGTCTCTCCCGAAATTGAAAAATCAAGCACGGTTGAAGCTTCAAGAGTCCCACCAGAAAGACCGAGTTGAAGGATTGAATCACCATCAGAAGCAAATCCCTGAGATAATGCAGTGGTTGATCCTCTATTCTTTGGGGGTCCAAAATTGTAATAATCATCGCAGTATGCACTCGGTGTCGGGCCCAATCCAAGTACCAACTTACAGCCATCATCGGGAGCACTGGAACAGTTGACCCTAAAATTGCTTTCTCTACACCTATACCTGGGTGTGTTGCTTCCACCGGAGCCAGGACTATTCAAGCATAGAGCAGTATCACCAAAGTGGTCATTTTTTGTGAACTGACCATCATGAGAAAATAGTATACTCTTCTTGTTCAAATCCATTTTCTCAAAACTGGGCGCTAAGAGACACAAGTAACAGATCACTCTTTACCACATACAATTACCAAGTCAACACAATGGAAATAAACGAAGTAGAAGCTAATGCGCAACCCCCAGCACCCCAATCAATAAAATCTCACTTTGAAAAAATCTGACTACGTTCCTTGGATAGAACCCCTTTATAAGAATAGTTAATATTGGCGTGCAGAGATCGTTGGAGCTTGTTGTGCTCCCTGCTGTAAAATCATTTAGCTTCATTAACCCTGAAGTAAGAGGAAACAGAAAACACAACTGAATTAATGAATAAACCCAACTGATGGTAATGATATAAACTGGAAAGATAAAACAATGTCATGCAAATCCACTGCAGGAATTTAGTTCTAAAAGAAAAAAAAAAACAAAGGAAAATATTCTAGGTTATGGCCAACGTCAATTCAAGAGGAAGAAACAAAGTTTTCAGAAAATCCAATATGACACATTCTGATAATATGTGACAGGATAATAAGTAGAAGCAAGAGAGTATGAATCTAACTGAAGTGCAGAGTATGACAAACAGTATCTAGTTTTCCATGTATTAGCCAAAAGAATGAAAAATTTGGAGAAACTCAAAATTGGAAAATGCATTGAGCTTGGAAAGAATTTGAATGACAAAAGTTTTCTGCAAACCAGCAAACTAAGTATAAAAAATTTGGAAACATCCAATCTAAAATGCCAATACATATAAATTTTCCAAAAAATAAGAAACTAAATTCCCGATATAAACTCACAACTTGTAACCCTGAACCCATGATCCAAAGGTGCAGCAGCAACAGGAGATCGCACAACTCAATAACATAAATTTGACATTTATAACCCAATACTTATAAAGCATAGATGAGTTAACTGTTGTTAAATTTTTCGCCATGATGCAACAGAGTTTGACAAGAACAAAGCACTTCCAAGCCCTGACAACTGTATCAGGTTTGTTTTGATTTGCCTAAGGAAAACAGCAACCTTCAAAAAAGAACAGAAAAATAACTCAATGTCAATAATCTTAAACCCAAAACACCAAAGTTTAAACTAAACAAGTAGCAGATCAAGGTTTTTCTAGAGTTCCCTGGCAACCATAGGATTTCGACAAAATCAGAGCATCTTCTCAGTACCTACTCGTTGTCACTCCAGAGACACAATCCCCATACTCAGTGGTTACGCAACCTCAAACATAATTAAATTTTCATACGGATACAAGTTCTATTCAATTTTTATCTGTACTACGAATTCATCCTTTGGAACAACTAAACATTGACTTCAATTCAATTCTAATAACTCTTAACTGATACTTATTTGGTATCATATTAATCGTCGGTATTTCTCCAATTTATCATGTTAGCAAGTACCAATTCCAGCAACAGCAACAAACAACGATAACAACAACAAAGCCTTATCCCACTAAGTGAGTTCGGTTGTATGAATCCTAGAACGCTACTGCATTTGGTTTTGGGCCAAGTCATCCTTTAGCTCCAAATACTATGCCTAGCGAGTGTCAATTCCAGATGCAATATATTTCTTTTAGTACATGTCATTCAAACTTTCCAGACTCTATTCCGATCGAGTTGAATTCTTTAAATTGAATTCCTGGCTCTAGTTGTTACTTGTTTGAAATCACTTCCATTCAATATCTTAGTCAACATCCATAATATAATTTCAACATCCAAATATCTTACCTAATTCAGATTTATTACTCTCCTTCCTTCACAAAACTAGCTGTACAAACTAGCAAATCCTTAATAAAAATTACAAGATCTACAACAAAAATTAATTTAGAAAAATACCCAGTAAGTCAAACAAACAGAAATTAACTCCATAATCTCCAAAACCATCAAATAAACAAAACAGATGGTAACTATATGATCATCCATCAATTACTCAAAGCCAAAACCCAATTTTCTACAGTGAAAAAAATTGAAAGAAACGCAGGGAGATGAAGAAATACATGAGCAATTCAGCAGTAGGAGGCAGATGTAATTACCTTGGTGACAAATTCAAAGGAAATTTGGAGAGAAATGGCGCATCTGGGCAGCTGCGGGAGAAGATGCATCCCAATTTTTCTTCCAACTAAAAAAATAAAATATGAAACAACCAGAGTGCCAATTGCAATTAGGTATTTTCAAATAATGTCGGCACTATTATTTTATTTTATTTATTTATTCAGACGGCTCTCCAGTTCTGTATTTTTCTTCATTTCCTATATTTTAATTTATTTTGTAATTTTATTTACTTGGTGAAATACCAGAAATAGCCTTTAGGGTCACAACTGTCGGGACTCGGGAGCGTGGCGCTTCCTAATTGCCTGGGACGACCCATATACTTTTCCTTGAAAACGACGGCTCCTGAAAAGTCAACATTGCCCTCTCGCCCACAACCAAGTAGTGTGGCTTTTCGCCAGTAGTTTTGGGCAAAACCACGTCGCCGTTCCTAAAGTTGGAGAGATTTTTTCCGTCCAGTCTATAATACTACAGTAAGTATCATAATATAAGTGAAAAGAGTAAATTTTACAAAAATATAATGGATTATGGGAGCGTGTGGCTTAATGGTGAAGGTGATGGCTGGATCAATAGGAGGCAAGCTCAGGCAGTAGTCCAAGTTTGTGGAAGGATTGACGCGGTGGCATCATTTCGACTTGGGATTTGGACTGAAGCGGCTTGGCTTCTCGGCTCAGTTTGGCGGCGTGCCTCGTGGTAAATGTTTCATGCAATCAAGTCTGAAAACAAATCGAAACTTGAATTCATGTCTTAGAAGTGACATAGATTGCAATGATGAAAATTGTGAACGGGTTTGTAACAAAATAATCTAATGAGAAAGTGGAGTGTTATGGCATAGAGAGAAAAGAGAGTAATAGGGGAAATACTTATCGTAAACATAATGAACTTACTTCTCATACAAGTAAGAAAGTCTAATATCTTATCGATTATATAAAAAAACTTAAATACAGTATATTTGAATTTATATAATCACACAAATACTTTTTTTAGTACATTGACATTTTTACATTAAGAGGAGGGAGAGTTCGGCAAAGTCCCAAAATGGACAGTCTAGCTTGATATCGAATTCGTCATCCACGAGATTTGAAAATAAGGCATTTTATTTCTAAATGAAAAAAAAATATCATCAGACCGTAGTACTGAGTGGCTAATCACACAAATACTTTAATTCTAATCACAACAATCGTCCATAGGTTCCACTCTGTAAATGTATTTTGACAAAATTGTCCCTCGATTTGGTTAAACGAATGAGATTTAATTGAGCGTTTTCTGGTGGCTTCATTGCCAGTTTGCTGCAGACGTCCTCAACTGCAATTCTTGGAATCTAACAACATTCACACGCGTCGTCGTCCTATTGGCCAGCACTTCCCATAATAGTTCAGTTCCCTATGCTGATTCGATCCCAACTACGTTGGTTTCATTGGAAAGTGTGCAGCATTTAGGGCACGTGTGACACTCTGTGCTTTGTCTGGTTGTGCTTAAGTTGTCTTGGCCTATTATTAACAAAAACTTAAATGGCACGAATCGACCGTCACATGAGTTCATATTAGTAAAATAAGGTTATGTAGATAAAAATTTACGCGTCTTTATTTTACTACTATTAGGCGCCATATTAACGGTGTACTAGTGTTGTGTAAAAATAATTTGTATTGCATGGATACACCTCTACAATAACTTTACGTGCTAGTAATACAAGGACATGTATAAATTTCTCTTTTAGTGTTTATGTATGGATAATGCTTGAATTTCCCCTCTGGGATATGGGCTCATTTTCCCACTTGAAAATAATGTAACTTCATCCTAGAAAATTTATAATTGGAAGCCGCTCAACTTTTTAATCTTCATTTAAAGATTGTCCTTACAAAAATTCTTTCGAGATCGAGATTATTTAGTCATCCAAATGTATCAGATAAATCAACTGCTCATTATTAATAGCTACTTGGTACATATAACGTTGATTCAATTGATACATTTATATGACTAAATGATCTCAGATTAGAATGAGTATTGGTAGGGATCTTTTCACTTTTTTTGAAAACTAAATTCTTATTTAGTAACAACAACTTTGGCACCGAGTTTTTAAAATTTGGCACTAATTTTTCACATTTTGGTTTTAGTTTTTTTTTTCTTTTTTTTTTTTAAATAGTTACCAAACAATATTTCAATACTAAGTTTTCAAAAAAGTAAAAAATGAAAATAAAATGATTATCAAACGATCACTAAGTTCTTTAAGCAAACATCGCATAGCTCCGTGTCACATTATTAGAATTAGTATTATTTCTTCTTTTCTTTATCAGAAAAAACAAGTTCATTGGTTGATACGGATCTGTTGACTTTCGACATTAGACAACTTGATCATTTCATTCACTAGCTTGTTTTCTATGCTAATCATGATTAGCAACTTAACCTTACCTGGGTTGTTCAATAGGTTGGATGTTTCCTTGTCATTTTCTGTTCCCAACCAACACCTTTGTTTAATCAGAAATGACCACAAAATCAGGTTTATTATATGTTAGCATGCATTCATAAGATGGAGAGACATCTCATTAATAGTAACATATGGTAGGTCTAAGTTTTATATTTCCTTGGGTAATCTTGTGTCGCTTTAGGACACCCTAAGTAGGCTAACTAAAATTTAAATTGAATAGCTTGTAACTGCTTTGAATCACACCATATTATAGTTTATGTAAGTACAGGTTGTTACTCCTGGGATTGATGCGACGCTACGGAAGTTATAAATAAAGGAAAGTACGAATAGTTATCTTTGAATAGATTTTTCAAACGCCATAGAATCGAGAAAAACTTTCGAATTTTGATTAATAATATGATAAGATGAACAAAATGCAACTCTAAAAGTTGTTTAATAATCTTAATAAACCCTAGCACCAGATAGAAAAAATAAATAAACAAATAACAAAATATCAAAAAAGATGTTAAAATATTAAAATCTTGTTTTAGGCTAGTAAAAACTGAAATTCAGCCAAATTCTGACTAGGCTTCTTGTCAAACACAAGACTTGTAGATCTCGTCGTTTTCCTCGAATCCATATATAATGGTACCAAAACTGACAAGTCAAACAAAATGTACGTTAATCTGAACAACCTGAAAAGTCCAAAACATTTACTTCCGAATATGCTAGCAATGAATAACTTTTTAACCCATAAATTACCAATTCTCCAATCACTTTTCTTGATTAAAAGTTGCTTCCTTCTTTTAATTTTTCCTCATCTAAAGCACCGATTTTATTCTACATCATGATTACAACTTAATACTAATCGATTAAAGACACAAAGATAAATAAATAAATAAAACGTAAGAAATTAATAACATGACAATAGACGGTAAGAACCATCAACATAGTCGAGTGACGAACATGGAAAAGTTAGCAAATGAATTTTGAAAATTAACAAGGCAACAAGAACAAAATCGAAACTAAATAAACAAGGAAAGATAAGCAATAAGCACTAGGGTTTCATATGCCACCACCAAGCTTCATACTCAAACATTAGAGGCAAGTATCGAATTCTAGATTTAGTCACATATACATACACTACGTACGCAAGTTCAAGTACTTATAGCATGATCCATAAAATTTAAAAAAGTAGAAATTCATTAAGAGTGTAAAATGTAATTAGCCCAAAAATCTAATTTTAAGGATGGAATAAATGAATGACTTTTCACAAGTTAAATTTAATATGTATCTCATTAAAATAGTTCTTTGTAAAGTGTAGAGAAAATAAAATAAAAGGATAGTAAGAGCTCGTTTGGTATGTAAAGCTAGACCGTAATAGATAATTTCCTTATTTCAAGGCATATTGAAGGTAAAACTGAATGATTTTTCATTTAGATGGGATTAGAAAAGGCTTATGCATGAAAGGAACTCATGCCTTTTAATCTTACGATTTTGGAAAGGATCGAGACAAATAAATTTTCTTCATGAGTAATCCATATTCTACCCTTCAGTTAGACATCATGTTTTCATTTCTCCACTCAACATCTCCTTTAAGTTAGAGAAGTCTCATTCCCAATTCAATCCTCATACCAAAAGAGGCCTAAAACTATTGCTTATTTGACCTAAGCCTAGTTAAGTGATGTGTGATGATCTTGTTAGATCCCCCTTATCCCCACACACCAACCAAACCACATTCTAAATTAAAATATCAAAAGCAAGATCCTAATTGAGTAGCAAGCCCAACTTTAAGTGACAGGCCTTGTGACATTGGCTGGGGTCTAATGTATTAACTGCTCTACATTTAATAATACGTAGCATTGTAGCGGAATTCTAATTTTTTTTTTGCGAATTTGTTCTTATCCAAAGAAATATTGCAAGGCAAAGAAAAATAATTGAAGATAAACCCAATACTTGATTTCATTTTTCAAATTAGTAATTCTTTGATTTTGAACAAGATTTGAGAGAATTTTGACAACTCTCCCAACTTATTCATTGCTCAAAATTTTCCATTCCGCTATCTCTATCTCTCCTCACGGAAAATGATTGAGAAGACACTGAAAAGAATTACAGCAGCAGAGAGGAGTTGAAAACTTGTATCAAATCCTAACGCTGAAAGAGTGTTTCAAGCTTCCCACATGAAGCACATGCTCTCCCAAAGCAACCTTTCTGTTTCCAAGCTCATCGACCACACTCAGGTGCTTGCAAACATCCACGTTGAACTTAACCAATGCTTCTCTCTTAGCACTCACGAACACCTTCTCAAAACCCAACAAGTGCTTCTGCGGCGACTTGTGCACTGCTGGAGGACTCGAAAACAACATCACCGTATGACTTCCACTCATCCTTCCCATGTTCTTCACCCCCAAATGTATATCAAAAGCTAGGTTTTCGCATCTTTCTTCCACAACGTCAAGTGACTTGCAGCTTGACGAGTGACATACATGACCCTCTTCTAAGGGAATCGATACCAGCTTAGGCGCTCGAACTAGTTTGTGATTGAAGGCAGAGTAGCCTAGTCCGTCTCCAAAGGAGTAAACGGTTTCACCAGTGTAAAATCTGTAAGTCCGGCCAGGGTAACCGTTCGAAGGATCCGGTCTCATGTTCATGTTTGTCATTGGAACCTTGTCCACATACGATTGTGGATACCATGTCATAGGTAGTCTCCCGCCTGCAACAATAAATATCATATAT